GGGCCGGCCACGCTGGAGGTGGAGGTGGAGATGAGCGAGTTCTCCCACAAGGTCCTCCTGGGCAAGCACATCTTCAAGGTCACAGCCTTTGTGTCCCCATATGTGTTTTGATTGCCTTTGGAGGCAGGTGTGGGGCCATGCCAGAGCCTCTCCTTGGGAGGAATGGAACAGGTTCAGCTCAGTGGTTCCAGTTTTTGTCCCATTGGAGATATCCCTCTGCCATAATGCTTTCTCATAGCCATCACAGCAAAAACTGTGTCTCTATAGGAAAAACCTGACTGCCAATGGAAGGACTGGCCTGGGGGCACCTGCCTCTGCCAGCCCCCCTTCCTCTCTGCCCACGTGGCACGCAGAGGGGAAAGACAGAGTGAGCTAACAGCAGCTGGCACACAGATTCAGCTTCTTATATCTTGTAATCTCTAATAAAAGAAATGTGGCTGTAGGAAGGGTGTGCTCCTTGCTCTATGTTTTGTCCTCCTGATGCAAGGCTCCTGGGGACAGCTGGTGGCTGTGCTAATGGCAGGGTCACCTCTCAGAGCTTGGGGTGAGCTACCAATAGAGCTACCAAGCCCATCCAGGGTCCATGCCCCTCCCAGCACTGCTGTTCCTGGAGCCACACTGAAGAGTCCTTCAGCATAAAAATGGCAGATGGGCTGAGCAGAGAATCACAGAATGCTTTGGGTTGGAAGGGATCATCTTGTGCCAATTCCACTGCCATGGGCAGGCACAACTTCCAACACGCTGCCCTGAACATCCTGCACAGCCAAGACTGTCCTCAGCCGCCTTGGCAGTGCCTGGAAAGCACAGCAGGGTTCCCTGGCCCTGGTGAGCAGGGGATAGCGACAGGAGCTGTGCTTCCTTGTGTGCAGGAGGATTCCCTCTGCGGCAGCTCTGACACAGGCTGGTCAAACCTGCACCTCCCCAAGCACAGGAGCTGTTCCCCTGCACCCATCTGGAGGAGGGTGGGCTGTGACAAGTGGGGCGCACACCCCACACCCCTTGGGCACCCCTGTCACTGCCAGCATAGCCAGACCCTGTACAAGGAGAGCATCCAGGGGTTCAAAAGGTGACAAGGGCCTTTGGGGACAGTGAGCTGAGGACACACCACCCCTGGCTGCACACAGAACCCTTCTGAGCCTGGGTCTGGCCGGAGCCCTCACACAAAGCACCCGCTGTGCGCGGACATGAGCGGCCATAAAGGGCTCCTTGTGTCCGCCGCCGGCATTGCCACCGGGGCTGGGCTGTGCTCAGCTGGGGCCGGCAGAAAAACCTCCCCAGGGCCAGCAGGCAAGTGGGCCGTGCCGTGCCGTGCCGGGCCAGGCCAGGCCAGGCCAGGAGCTCTGCGTCACCCAAACCTGCAGCTGGCCCCTGCCCACTGCGACGGTGGGCTGGGATGAAAAGAAGGGAATTACGGGGTAAATATTTATCCCTGCACATGAGGCATCCCAGCCAAAATGGACAAAACAACCCGGGTTTTTTTGCTCAGGTTTTCTTCTATCCTTGAAACCTTCAGGTACAGCTGGACTAGGCACTAACAGCCACATCACTGACTGCTAATGATAATAAAAGTTTGCAAAGATCACTACAAGAAGGACATGGAGGTGTTGTGACGAGCCCAGAGAAGAGCAATGGAGATGGGGAAGGTCTGAAGCACAAGTCTGGTGATGAATTAATGAGGGAGTTGGGAGGGCTCAGCCTGGAGAAAAGGAGGCTCAGAGGAGACCTTATCACTCAACAACTCCCTCACAGCCGGGTGAGCCAGGGGGGATTGGGTTCTTCTCCCAGGTAACAAATGATAGGACAAGAGGAAGGGGCCTCACATTGTGCCAGTAGAGGTTTAAATTGGATATTAGGGAAAATTTCCTCATGGAAAAGGTGGCCAGGCACTGAGGCAGGCTGCCCAGGCAGTGGTGAAATCATCATCCCTGGAAGTGCTCATAGGGTGTGTGGATGTGGTACCTGGGGACGAGGGTTAGTGGTGAACACGGCAGTGCTGGGTTAGTGGTTGGACTCGATGATCTTCAGAGATCTTTTCCAGCCTTACTGCTTCTCTGACTCTGTTTTCCCAGTGTTCTTGCTGCTTGTCTGGGGATGCACTGAAATGAAATGTTTGCAGCACCAAACCTGCCAGACTTCAGGAAGCATTTGGACAATGCTCTCAGACACATGGTGTGATTTTTGGGATAGTCCTCTGCAGGGTAAGGAGTTGAAGTCGATGTTCCTTGTGAATCCCTTCTAACTCAGGATAATCCATGATAACATGAAAACGGAATCTCTGAAATCCATCTTGCTGGAATCACTGATGCCAGATGATGCTAGGAGGGTTTCAAATCCATCAAATTCTGTGTTATCTTGGTTGCCCAGGGGTATCCTGTATCCTTCACTGATAAAGCAATCCTTAGTTCTGTGTCCTTTACTCTGTTTTACTTAAGCACAAACCACTGCAAAGCCTCCAGTAAAATTCCAAACTCCCCAGTAAAATTCTGCAACCTCATTACATCACAGCATAAATCCGATATATATATATATTAAATAAATCCGAATATATATAAATCCGAATATATATATAAATCCGAATATATATATATATCATATATATTAACAAAAATACCATAAAGACTGGTCAATATGACAGGGAATGGAATTTTCCAGGAGTGGGATGGCTTTAGCTGCCAACCAGCCTCCACCGCTGGGTCACTGGGCATCTCCAGCCCCATCTGTATGGAATGTCGCTGTTTGGAAGGCTGGAGAGTGTCGCAGACAGAGTTTCCCTGGGTGTGACACGACCTCATCCCGAGGCTGATGCAGGACGAAATCTCATGTAGGAACGATCGCGCCGGCGCGTTTTGCCCCCTGCGCGCCGCCGTAGCCGTTGCCATGGCGACGGGCGCAGCGGCCCGAGGCCCGCGGAGGCGCCGGGAGCTGCCGTGGAGGCCTCGGCCGGGGGCCCCGCGCCCTGCCCGGGCATGAGGCGGGGCCGGGGCCGCTCTCCACCGCTTCTGCGGGAAGAAGGTGAGGGGTGGGAGTTGGCGGAGTGCGGGAGGGGTCTTCGCGGCTCTCACCAAAGCGGCTGCCCGGGAAGCCGCTGACCCAGCCCTGGCTCCCTTACGTCCCGGTGCTTCTCTCTCTGTCTACCCTGATAGTGATTTCATGCTGGTTTTTATATTCAGTGTTTTCTGGAGCTGGGTATAAGGGCACGCCAGGCATACCCACTTTGGGTTTTGTAACAGGTAGCTCAAAGTGATGCACGAGCAAGTTTTCAGCAGCCTAATGAGAAAAGGATGACATGACTGGTAATGATTTAGATTACCAATCAGAGATGAGCCAGTTGCAAGGTAGCAACTTCAGTGGTGAAGGCAGGCAGATATTACTAATTACTTCAAAGGTTGAAGTTTGGAAATTTTTATTCCAGCCTACGTGTCGATAAGATTGTGCTGATGAGCATAAATTACATTCTCTGCTATTCTTACCCACTCCTCTACCAGTTGACCCCAAAAGACATTTCCAGCCCTTCACCAGGGTCTGAAGGGCTGTTGGCATTTCAAGGTTGGCATTGTCCTGCTCACTCCTTCAGCAGTTGCTGTGCTTGCTCTCTTCCAGCCCTGTGGAATTGTTCTGGCACTGGAACCATTATCAAAAATACCACAAGTGAGCCAGAGACCTCCTCCTTTTCTTTCATCGCTCTCCTGTGCACGTTAATCAGACTAATTGAAGTTGTTTGTCGTGTTAGATGTTAATTTCAATCCTCTTTAGTTACTAAGGAGGGGTGGGAGTGGTGCAGAGGTACCTTGAGTCAGCTCAGGTCCAGCAGAGCTCCTTTGTGCTGGTTTTGTGATGCTGCCCTTGATCTGCTGCCTGGTTTGCTCTCCCTGCTAGCTCAAGTTTTCTGTGAAGCAGAGCTACCTAGCTCTCTGTTGTTAGAAGCTCTCCTGGCCCTGTGGCAAGTGAAAAGCAGCACCTAATAATCCATGAGAAACTGAGAAAAGGAGAAATTGCTTCTGAGCTCAGAGCTGTTTCTCTTCACATGTGTCAACATTTTGTCTGCCTTGGAGCATCTCTCCATCACCTGGGCTCAGTCATAGCACTTTTGTTTCACATCCTTTCATTTTCCATTTTTGATTTCTGTAGATGAATATCTGCAATAAACCCCACAATAAGATCGCTCCAGAGGATTTGGGCGAAGCTGTCCCTGAGGTGAAGGTCCAACGCGCTCGAAGAAATGGCTGGAGCTGGCCCCTGCACCTGTTCCAGGTCACTGCCTGGCTGCTGTTCCTGTTCTTTGCTCTGGTTGGCTTTGGGATCCTGGTTCCCCTCCTGCCCCGCCACTGGCTGCCCGCGGGTTACATCGTATCCTTGGATGGAGAGGGAGCAGGGCTGGTACAAACTGTCCCTGGGGCTTTGGTAGCACACAGCACTTGTTGGGTAGCACAGACAGCATAGGAGAGAAGCACCTGAGCCAGAATGTTTCTCTGAACTGTCACCATCATCTTGGATATCTCCTGATTATAAAAAAACAGTTGCTTTGAGATCCTCACTTTAGGTCACTGATGTTCTGCTTCATCACTCTCCATTAAGGTTACTGCCTTTGCCTCCAATGCTCTTCTGCTGCCTGCTTGCTTCTGCCTGTGTGTTTCCTTTGCTTTATATTATTCTTCTACAGCTATGCTGCAGGGTTTGAGGGAAGTAATACAATAAAGCCCCTCCTGAAACATCCTTGTTGTAAAAGGCAGCCCCACCTCTCTGTGCTGGCTGGGTGAGTCATGCAAGGCAGCTTGGCATGCTCATGGTTGGATCAGGGGTTGCTTGTGGTGGCTCACAGTGGATCTTCTCCCTGGGCACTCTCCTGTGTTCAGGAGGAAAGCTGGGAGTGGCACACAAGGTGGTGTGGTGTGAACCTCAGAGGAGAGGTCTCTTATGGGACAGTCAGGAGCAGCAGTTTAGTACACAGCTAACAAAGACAGTGAAGGGTCTAGAGGAGAAGCAGCTGAGGACCCTTGGCTTGTTCAGCCTGCAGCAGCTGGGGAGTGATCCCAGTGCTCCCAGTACTCCCAGTGCCACTGTGCTATCACCTGTGCCCAGGAAAGGAAATTCCTCAGGACCAGACCTTGTTCTGAAGGGGTGGGGTGTGCACTTACACCATTTGTACATCTGACACAGATGCCTCTAAGTCTTGGATATGTTTGGGATGATTTTGCTTATTATTGTTATAGTTTTTACACCTGCATGATTTAGACATTAATATAATTAGCTCAGTGGTCTTACATCTACTTAGCTTGCTCAAGTCCTTGATATTATCACAGTTCAAACCTTGTGAATTTGCCTACCAAATATGTTAATGCAATCTTAAGTTACTCTTAATTCAACAGATTAATATTTCCTCAAGTTTTACTTCCAGTTAATAAAGCACTAACATCTCTTTTGTGTCAAAGGCAAATCCCTTCCCAATCTGCTTCACCAGCCATCAGATCTCGAGTGAGCTGGACCTCTCAGAGGCCTCCTTTTTTAACTTACTACACTGATCTATTTTCTGTAGGTCTTAGTATGATCAATGATGTGCACATCTGGGTGTATAGAAACAATGAACAAACCCTGGCTCCTTTGTAGGAGCCTGCTTTAAAGGTGTGCTCCTCTTCCCTGGGATTCTAAGGAAAAGGAAAGCAAGGAAATCAATACTACTTCCTTGATGTGACCTTTTTTTTCTTGAAAGTCTGGTGCAGTGATAGGGCATGTGCACAGCCTTTCCAAGGAGTCTGTATGGACTGAGAAACTTGGACCTATGTCAGCAGCCTGTACTTGGGCTCAGGTTCTGGTAAGTACAGGTAACTTTGGAAGATATTCTGTGCTAGAAAAGGCACTTCTGCAAGGCAGAGTAGTTCATAATGAGGAAGGATGTTCCTGTAGATTTAGTTGTCTTTTTCCAGGGATATTTATTACAAGGCAAATGTCTCTATCAATGGAGCTCAGATTAATGTGCTGCAATCAGTTATATAGCAGTTTATAATTCTACGCTGCAAATTTTTCATCTGTGTGGGGTTTGTGTATTAAGGATTAAAAGACATGTTAAATCCTTAACTGTGTACTTCAGTGTCCAGGAGTGTGTTTTATCTACCATTTAGTTGTTCATCTTACTGCAGTTTCAATTGATCCTGCGGATGCAAACGTGCGAGAAAAAAACTATCTGGGGCCTCTGGCCACCTTCAACCGTAAGCAGCATGCACATGTCATTGAGAACCATCACTGCCATGTCTGTGATGTGGATGTGTAAGTAGCTCTTCTTTCTCCTGCCCTGTCTTCTTCCCCATTGCATTTCACCATTAGTCCTTAATGTCAGACTAAAAGATTTGAAATTGAGCCCCTGAACTGCTACAGTGCAAGTTAAGCTTCATGCTGTGGCAGGATTCAGGTAGTTGGGTAGGGGCCTCTGTCAAATGTGCACACAGAGTTCTGTGTTTTATTTCATTGCTCATGTTGTGTGGAGAAGGCTGTAGTGCACCATGTTCCCTGAGTGTTGGTGTTTCACCTATCAGTGTGTAAGTAGTGTGTGTGCTTGTCTCTGGCTGGATGCTGGCCAGTTGCAGGAAATGCTTGGAGGGCAGGCATTAACACCAAGCTCTGTAGAATTGCTCAAGGGATTCAAGTAAGAATTCAACAATCTCCAAATTAAAAATCATGCAGTGCATTGAAAAGCGAATTTCGGGATTGTGGTGCAGCAGTGACAGATAAGTTAGGGAAATGAAGTACTCCTGATGCAGAAGGTTTACTCACTGTTATCAGGATCTCTGCTGCTGTATCCCTCTGTGTTTGAGTCACTGAAAAGTCATAGTAATGAGCTCTGGTGCTGCCATGCTAATGCCACCCTTTCCTTGGCAGGAGTGCCAAGTCAAAGCACTGTGGAACTTGCAACAAGTGTGTGTGTGGCTTTGATCATCACTGCAAATGGCTCAACAACTGTGTGGGAGAGAGGAATTACTGGTAAGAGCTTGGCATTGTGGCAGAAGCACAACTCTGCATCAATAATGTGGCTCCATCTCTTTCCAGGGTTCTCCTGTATCTCAGTCCAGTCTGTACTTAGACTTGCAGAACCACTTTTCTTTTATCCCCTGGCTGAATAGAATCTGTCATGAGAAAACTAGATGGAAAATACAAGCATAATCATTCAAATAACCAGGGATAAAATTCCTGAACTTAGAATGTTGTAGTTGAACATCTGTAAGTAAAAACAGAGAGCATAGAGTTACTATTTGGTATTAGGAAATGCTTACAGGATGTTAATTGAGTGTCCTTAGTGCTTCTGAAAGCTGAAGTAGGAATGGAACCATGATGGTGCTGTTCCAATTTGAGACAACCTGCATCCAGATCATGTGCTTTCCCTACAAGACTTGCCAGTTGGCAGGAGTCACAGCAGCATATAGGGACCTCTAATCCATGCCAGGTTTGAGATAAGAATAAGGAGACTGCCACTGATGCTTCTCAATTTACTTTCCTGCACTTAAACCCTGTGGAAAGCAAAGTGGTGTTGTTGCTGGGTGCCATGTTACACTGATGGCTGGTGAAGCAGATTGGGAAGGGATTTGCCTTTGACACATACTGCACTTCAGATTTTGTGCAAGGGACCTCTTTGTCTGTCCTAGATATACTCTACTGTTTTGTAACCATGGTTGCACTAAAGGGTCACAGTTTAGTCCCTCAGAGTAACAAATAATAAGTAAAGCTGTTCACCAGTATCTGTCAGAAGTATAAGAAAGCCTGACAGTAATTGGAGATAGCTGTCTCTGTCTCTTTGTTTATTAGAGGCTGGGATATTGATTTGTGTGTGTGATGTTATTGAAGGCACTGAGAGCTCTCCCTTTCCTGGCAGGCTCTTTTTGAACAGTGTGCTGTCTGCCATTCTGGGCCTGGGGCTTCTGCTGCTCGTCGCTTTCTACGTCTTTGTGGAGTTCTTCGTGGACCCCGCGGTGCTTCGCTCTGACCAGCACTTCGATGGTACTGCAGTGTTCCACATCAGCATCCTGGGGATCTGCCAGCATGTCTTGATGAGGGTTTGGATTCTGTCAGCTCTTCCACTGAGGAGGAATTCCATTCCTTACTGCTTCCATTTTATATTTCTGTTGGAGTATCTCTGCTCAGCTGGATGGAATGTCTTTCCTTACAGAGCTAATTGCTCTTCCTGAAAGCCTTGCAGACACTGAATTTCTTAGACCTCCAGTGCACAATGGGTCTGCAGCTACTTTTGAGTTAGCAGGATTTCCAGCTATAAAGTTTATTTAGAGAGAATTCATACCTGGACAATCTACTTACCTCCAACTCTGTTTTACAGCTTTGAGGAACCACATGGACCGCTGGTTTGTGTTTCTTCCTGCATCTCCTGTTGAGACTCGGGCACCTGCCATTTTGGTGACAGCTGGGATTTTCATTCTTCTGAGCCTAGTGACCATGATCCTGCTGGGCCACCTCTTGACCTTTCACATCTATCTCTGTAGGTGTTTTGTTCCTGTCATCTATACCCTCATTTCATTTTTGCTTATCTGCTGCTCATCCTGCATTCACTGTGTGTTCATCCTTGTCACTAATATGCACCCATTGTGTAAAATTGGGATTTAACATAATATTTCTGAATTTCCCCCTGTACCATGTAGGTTTATCAGTGCTTGTGTAATGTGGGGCTTGTGTTGGGCCTCTGCAGCCATGTTTAAGCTATGTTGTCCTGAAACTGAAAGTACATGGTAGGGTACTGGAGAGGCCAAGTGGGATGAACTGGTCAATGTCAGCTTGATGCCAGTGATGGCAGATTCAGATTAACCCCACATATGGCCTTTGTGAGTCTCCTGACAGTCCTCCCCAGTATTTCTGTTGTGTGAAAGAGCTTGTATTTTTCCCTTACCCCAGAGAAATGTGGATGCATGGAGCTGAATTTCTGATTGGAGCACTGCCATCCAGGTTAAGGTACCTTCATGGAAATTGTGCCATATTGATACAAGAAGATTTGTGGAATTCAGAGAAAGAGGCTTTCAGAAAGGCTTCTCTTTAGATCTACTGCTTGTTGCTCTGGCAAGAAAGGATATTTATGTTTGTTTATGTAGAAATGAACATCAAAAACTTTTTTAAGCCATCGTCTACAATTAAGCCAATGCTTTTTGGCTGCTAATGAAAGTCATGATAGGGAAAGATCTTACATTTGCAGTGGTTGGTGGTGCCAGAAGTAGGAAAGAAGGGATGTGATTGAAGAGAAGTGAGGACAGAGGTTACAGAGGATCCTTGGATGGATTTTCAGGTTCTCAGTTAACAGACCTGCAGCTGCCAACACAAACTAGGTCAGCACAAACCAGCAGGGCTCCAGAAGCAAAACAGTCACACTGCTGAAGTGTAGTGTTTGATAGGGGAGTGTTCCCAGCTGGCATGGACAGTGCACCCAGTGAGGACACTGACCATCATTTTCTTCTACAGCCTCTTTGAACTTGTCTGAAGTTTGGGCATGCTGCAATTTCACTTCCTTGGCAGAATTAACAATTGGCTTTTCTCGGTTAATGGCACTGCCTGGAGATTTGAAAGGTTGATCTAGCACTTTTTAAAGACAAAAAGCATAACAAAGCTCCAGGAAGGTTTCTCCTGAATGAAAAAGGATTATTCTGTTTAGTCCTAGTATTTATCCTGTCCTTGTGTGCAGCTTCCACAAGAGGGTGCTCCCTGCCTGAGATAATGACCTGCTTTATCTGACAGACTGAAACCTCTGTGTGTGCCACTAGTTGTGCTCTGGGCTTGGGGGAGATTTTGCTGTTCTTGTCTTAGGGTGATTCTTTTTCCTCATTCAGAATAAATTTTGAGCCAAATTAACTTTTACTTTTGGCCCAATTTTAAATCTTTATCTTCCATCTTATGTGAAAACAGAATTGTTGCTGATGTTTTTAATGTTTTATTACATTATAATAAAAGTAGAATAAAAAGAAAAAACAGTAGGGAATATACGAAAGCATATAGTGTTACTCACAAACTGATTATATTTTGCATGTTGTGTGCTGCAGTTTTAACTGGCCAAAAATGCAGTATTTCAACTAAATAGCTTTATTAAAATATTTTAAAAGTTACACTGTAAGTATTCAGAAACCAACAAGATCCAATTGGTTAATAGGCCTTTGCTTATGAAGCAACATTCTGTTTTTCAAAGAAAGCAAAGGGTGCCATTCTAGGAGCACTTGCCAGCACCCTACACTGTCCCTGTTAAGTAATCACTTGGCTGCAGACTCACATTCATCTCTGTGTTCTCTCTTCTTGGCTAAATGGATCCTGATTTTTTATTTCTGCATAAGGTGATTGTGATTCCTTAATGAGGTGATTTTTATTTATTCATAAAGTGATTCTCCCCCACTTCTCTGTGAAGTAGTCCTGTGTTCAGGGCATGGTATTGAGAGGTAAGATATCAATGATGTAAATGTCTTCAGGCAGAGGGAGGATTTTAGTCCAGCTGATCCTAGGCATCTTCTTTAACTCCTGTAAAAAGGAGGAATAACCATGAGGCTGTGCACTAAAACCCTTCAGCATCCCTTTCTGGGTTTATTCTCTAAAAATACTTAAGATCATTATGGGAAGAACATCTGCTTTTTGGACTCTTTTTGGTCTCATGAAGAAACCAAGTTGCTCAGAAGTGTCACATGCTTTTGGTCATTCATGGAAGCAGATGTGTTTGCATGGGCACCTGGAGAGCTCACAAAGTCAGGGACATGGGAACTCTGGGCACATCTGTTTGGCACGAGGCAAGCTGTGCATTTAATGCTCACTGGTTTGCACATTAAGTGTCTCAATCACTGCAGGACACTCTAACCTGCTCCATTTCTTCTCTCCATTTAGCACCACCTTCTGCAATACCTTCTGATTGCTCACTGAGCTGTTTGTACAGTGCAGATCTTAAACCTCTTAGACAGGAATAATGGATTTGCCCTGAAATGAACTGAACAAATGACTACAGTATAGAAGGCTGTACCATTCTAGGACACTTTAGAATAGCAGGACTATAAGAAAGCATTGTGATGGTGACAAGAAAGGATATGGTACGATGTACAATGCACAGCTACTTTTGGCTTGGATTATCAGTTTCTTCATGTTTATAGTTACTATTTGATGGTATAGTTATCCAGCCTGTTTGTGTAAGTGCAGTCAGGGAGGGGCCTTTCCTGTGCTGACAGGTCTCTTTCTTCCCTTTCAGTGTGGCACAAGCTGACTACGTATGAGTACATCCTGCAGCAGCGTCCCCAGCAGCAGCCAGACAAGGTGGACAAGAAAGAGGAGTCTTGTTCCTCCCAAGTGAGACCCAGTCAGGTACTCATCCTACTTCCAGCCCATTTCCCAAAACCAGCCTTGTTTGTTTTCTGTGTAAACTTTGCTTCACTTTCTTGTGTTCCATATTTTAAAGGCAGTTGCCAGAGATAAGACTTGGTACTTTGATGGAGTTGAGTAGGATGTGAAAGAGTGCAAGGCCTGTAATTCCATGAACACTTTAGATATAAGCAAGCAGTGCTTTCAAAGGAATCAATCCCACCCACTCTCTTCCTCCACCACTTGTTTTGGGCCCTGCACTATCTCCTCTCTTCTGCCAGCACAGCTGTTCATTAGGACAGGGTGGGGGAACTCATCTGAGTAACAATAAACTTTATTAAAAAAACAGTTGAGCTGGCCCAGCTCCCTCCCATTTGGTTCACCAAGCAGTCACATAAATGCCTGGCTCAGCACAAAGGAAGGTGACTGAGGAGTGGGAAGAATCCTTTCCCTGAAAAGGACAGGACCATCTGTTTGGGTGGCACTGCACATCCTGGGGCCTTGTGTCATGGCTTCAAATAAGACAGGCTCTAGGGCTGGGGAAGCTGGGGGTAATCACTGAGCAGCAGTAATTTAACCATCTTAAAAGGACACCAGTTTTTCAGAAATTACCCAGATATCTGCTCTTCTTTGAAATTAGTCTGTACAATGATATGGGTCCTTGTTATTAGCATGATGTTGATCTATATCTCTGTAAAAAGAGTTCTACAAGCTCTTAAATGCTGTTAAGGCTCTGCTGAGGCAAGTATATCAGGCTCTGAATTGAGAGGTTCAGTGTAATTGATTTTGATAAATTATTGGATTAACTCAAATTTTGACTGGACATATTCTTTACTGACTTCAGCAGGGGCTTAAACAGAAATTTCCAAAAATTCTTTCTAATCTAAATTATTCTGTGATTCTCAGTCGTGTATAATTTTTCATTTTATGCAAGTAAGTTAGCTACTATACAAACAGTTTTGTATTTAATAAGAAATTAATTAAATACAAGCTTCATCCAAGTATTCTCTGTAGAGATACTGGGATGTCTCCAGATTCATCCATAGTTCTTCCCTATCAAAGCAAAGGGGAAAGTGAGCTCATTCACTTTTCTATAATATGAAGTCCCTAGCTTTTCATATATATTTTTTACTGTTTTGGAAAAGTTGAACTTTCAGTTTAAACAGAGGTTTCCATAACAACAAAAATATTTGGCACTTTGTTTCACAGAGCTTTGCTTACTATGAAGATTAAAACAAAAATAAAGCATTAGCGCTAATAATGTAGTTATTCAATTTTAGTTGATACTGAAAATGTATTTGAACAGGGGTGGACTTTATGTGTGCGTGCACTTTTAGGATGTTGGCATTCTCCTGTCCTGTGTTGTTCTCCTGTCTGCACTGGTTGTTATCTAGATATGTGTGAATATGGTTAATTTGAAGCAGCAAGCCTGGAAGGAGCAGGGTGAAAAGGAGTTTGATGTTTCAGGACTGCAGTTAGGACCTTGGGGAACAAGAAAGACTGGATGATGCCCAGTAACATTGTTAAGAAAAATGTTAACCCACTAGATTTTCCTTGTTTCTTACATAGCAACCAGAGATAAACACAAACAAACAGATTGGAGTAGGAGGACACCAAGTGACTTGCCTTTTGTAAGCTGTGTTGAATACAGCCTTCTTTAGCTTGAACACTGCAACCCTTTGTAATTGATCCAACATGTTGTAAGCATAAAATGGAAATCATCCTCTTCCCACTTTTGTCTGAACTGCTCATTCATTTTAGGGACTAAGAAGAAACATGCATTTCCCCTTTAATGCTTGTTTTTGAGCCTTATTCAGGCTTGGATGTTGGTTTTGGCTTCAGTTCTCCATGTTGGTCTGTGGTTAAGTCTTCAGCTATGTTCAAGTTAAAGGATTCTTGTTCAGGGTAAAGGATTCTTATGTACTTGTAGGATCTACAAAATAAGAGCCCTAATTTTGCACATTTAAGTGGTTCAGATGTCACAAAAAATGCAGAGCAGTTGGGCACATTGAGTCTTTGCTTCTATTACCATACCTAAAGCAGGATGTGCAAGTAACCATTTTTTCTGTAGTCATTTGCAGTCTAAAGAAATATAAACTAAACCAAACCCTGTGCTTTAATGCATAATTGCCTTCATGCCAGGGAGCTGGCTTTCATATGAGGCCAGCTGGGATGTGATTCTTCTCACATTCCTAAAGCTTTGAACTTGCTTTGGAAACTGATTCAGGTTGGTGGGGTTTGATTTTAAATTCTAAACACAGATTTTACTCAGCTTCCCTTACAGTTTCAGAATTGTTTATTTCTTCCAATATTGATGAAACACAAACTTAGTCTTCACTCTCAGCCTCAACACTTGCAACAGACTCACCTTCCTTGGGACAAGAACTCTTTTTTTCCTGTTCAATTCTGCTTCCCTCCAGGCAGACAGCACTTCAAGGCACTTCTGACCCAGGAAGGATTCTGATTCTCCTGCTAAATGCCTGGGAGCAGAGGGAGGCTTGGCTCTGTGCTGTGGCTGTAGCTTGTGTCACACTCTGAGGGAACATTGTATTTTCTACTGATTGAGTCTCATTTGTTTTCATAGTCAGCTCTAATGCTTTACTTTCATTTATGTGGCTGGTTTGGGTCTACATTATTTATAGAAGGCTGAAATGAACAAAATGGATTTAAAAAGGCTCTTTCATTCCCTGCTTGGAAAGAAATTGTTCACGTTATTCTCAAGATGAATCATTTATTAAGCTCCCTTGAAATGTCAGTCCTGCAGTCCTGTTTATGTGCTGTGGACATTGAATCCTGATTGTTTTCAGTTGTTCTGTGCAGGGGGATGTCTCCTGCTGCAGCTCATTTCAGCCATGAGCTGCTTCCCTCTGAAAAGACCTGCATGTCCTGCCTCTACACTCACAGTGACACGAGACTGTGTCTGGTCTCCTTCCCTTGTGACTCAGGTGCATGAGGCCTGAATGTAAATCTGATTGTAAATGTCCCAAGGAGCTTTGAGGAGACATTGTGCACACTTTTTTGGTGATGAGTGATGATGTGACTTGAGTTACAAGTTCCAATTTACATGTAGTAAATTTCTGCAGATTATTAATCTTGCATTTGGATACATTTTTAAATCAGAAAGACATGGTTTTGATTTCTAAACCAATTCCCTTTAGATTTTATGTTACCACATACAAAACAGCTGATTTTTTTTTCTCTTTTTATTTGTCTTTTTATTCCTAACATCTGAAATGATTTTTTGGCTGTCACTGAATGTGCAGCTCCATGGGTTCTTTTCCAGTTCAGAGACTGTTGCTTTGTCTATGAAGTTTAAACTGCTTTTCCCACATGCTTCACTGTCCATCTTTACCTCTAGCAATATTGATTTTTTGTGCCATTTTAGCACCCTGTAATTCAATATTGCAAAGATCTTCCGCAGCTCTTTGCGGCTGGCTTTCATTTTTAATGCCTGACATCAGGGAGTGTCATCACCAGGCTTCTCACTGCTCTGCTCTTTTGTTGATTGTTTATGAATTTGTTCAAGTGCAGAGGCCCTGGATCTCTCAGGAGCTCATTTGTGCCGTGTCCAACTTTGACTTCATTTTCTCAAATTTGCTGATCAGGCGCTTCAGAAAAAAAGGTCTTCATGATCTTGTTTTAGCTATTTTTGCAGCTAATGCCTATCACGTTTTAAATCCTTCTATCTTAACCTAAAAGTTACTTTAAAATATCTTTATAGTCACTGCACAGTGAAACACTTATGAAGAAGTTATCTTGATGATTATTTAAGTTTAAAAGCAGCTGTTAAGTGGTGCCCAGGTCCTTCTGAGCACGGTTTATCTTTTTTTTTGATAACAGGGCTTCATACTCTTCATCCCTTGGTACTCTGACCATCCTAACTGTAACTGGGTGTTTTTGAGGGAGAACTGGGGTCCTTTCCTGTAATGCAGCACTTGGATTTAGGAGACTTATTCTTTTAATTTTTCTGAAAATATGCAGTTTTCAAGTTCAACTGTCATTACTCTGAGCTCATCCATACCTGAGGCAAATAAACAATATATCACACTCATTTTTAAAAATCAGCAGGTCTTAACCATACAGGGTCACACAAGAAATAGAAAACACTTTATGTTTTTCCTGTATATTTAATGCTTTCATTCTCCTCACCTCCATTTTGCATTTAAAGGACATTTTTTGCATTCACTGCAGAGTTCCTCAGATTGGACTGTGTAACTAATGGAAGCTTTAAGTGGTATTTTGAATGTGCTCCCAAGAAATGACTAAGCTGATCTCTGTAAGTGTGATTTGGTTTTGAGACATATAAAATTCTGACTGGACTAAACAAATTAATCAAAGACTTCTAATTGTGCCAATCTTGGGTTTTTCATCTTCTTAAGCTGCAGCTTCCTGCTGTGCTACCAATAAGGACAAAAGATATTTGGCATAAGGAGAAAGAGTACATCTATAATAAAAATCCCTCTTCTCCCCTCTGTATTAGTCTGAAGTTGTTGTTTGTTTTGTTTTTTCCAGGAAGCAGAGTTATTGTCAGGTAATCCTGGCTATACAGACCCTGGAATTCGAGTAGAAGAATTCTCAACAGTAACTGCAGGAAAAAGGTGAGAAAAGTCAAGGAAAAGATTCTCCCAGCATCATTTGTGGTGAATGGGAAGTTGCTATCAAGGTCAGTGATGGGCTCTAAGACAAAAGTACTTAGAAGGATAGGGAGCACCAGTGTTTTGAGCAAGGCATGGTGAAATCTTTGAGTTTCAGGAGGGTAGATACCTGCAGGAATACTTGCCTTCCCTCTCCTGGGAAAATATCTTTCCTAGAATATTCTGTTTAGGCTGTTTTAAATTAAATATTTTATAGCAAACTGCTTTCTATTAATTGTTTTATATTAAAATTACTTTAAGGCTGGCTGATTTCTCCTGCAACTCCTCTATTGAGCTCATTATAATTACATGAACTCAGGTTGTGAAGAAATGCATCACAACAGTTACAAATTTATAACCCAGGCAAGCACTCATGGGAAACCAGGATCCTTGTCTCTAAATTAGTCCTTTTCTGTTAACTTGTGTCCCTGGGGATTTCCTTTTTATTTTGCACAATTGTGCAGGAGAAGTTCCCCTGCAGTTTTGCTGGGAATGCTGTGTAAGGCAGGGGAGGCTGTGATCAGCCTGATCTGTGTGTGCAGGCAAAGAGGGCATCAGACTTAAGTCCTGCCTTAGGGAATCACCTTGTGTGTCTGCTGTGTTTTTAGCTTTCCACAGCTCTATGTCCATAACCAAGAAGGTGACCCCAAGCAGAGCTCATCCCCTGAGTCCCCATCTCTGCAGTCTGTGGCCCCTTCTCAGGTAAGGAGGATTTGGCACACACCAAACCTGCTGCTGACAACCCACCCAGGTGCTCAGGCATGTTCACTCTAGAGCAGGCTGTGCTTCCCTGCTCACACAGGCTCTGCCTCCCCTCAGTGAGTGTTGCTGTGCCCTGCAGTCACCAAATCCAGGTGATGTTCTCCTGTCCCTGCTCACAGGCATAATCAGAGCTGTCCTCCAGTCCCCTCATAAGCTCCCAGCTGTAACACAGCTGTAATCCAGTGCCTTGCTGCCCCAGTGCAGCTCAGTGACTCTGGCTGTGCTGCTTTGTTGATGTAAGAAGCTCTGCATGTTTCTGTAGAGCAAAATCCAACAGTCTCAATGTTCAAATAAAGCAGTTTCCCAGGGAAACATGGTGAGTGTGGATGTGGAGCTGGAGTGTATGGAGCCCAGCTCAGGCTGGGCTCCTGATATTCAGGTATCTGCATCCAGATGCTCTCTCCTCTTGCTCAGGTGGCAGGTGGTAGTGCCTTTCCTCTTTTCCTCCAAGCTTGTTAATCAGTCTTGCCATCTAGATGGTAAGAAAAATTCGTTTTCATCTATACTGTATTTGGGACAAGGACTGTCCCTTTCTTGGGACATCCTGTGCTCTGTGAGTTTTGGTTCCCTCTTCTAGTTTGGCTTTACAAATGCAAGTGACCAGTGTCTCATACAACCCCCAGCTCTATGAGACAACAGCTTCAAGGTACCTACACACAGAGAGTCACTGTATGCAGATAGAGTGGGAGTGTGTTCATTAAATCCCTGTTCTCTGTTACTGCTTTGTAGTATCTCAGTCTTTATTGGTAAAATATTCTTGGACTTTGGTTATACCTAGTGCTTGTTATTCAAAGTAGGAAAAATTAAAAAGAGGTAACAAGTAAAAAAAAATGTCTCCTTCCTTTGGGCTGGTGAAGTGACTTCCCTTCTCTTGGGCTACTTGCTTTCACAGCAGCAGAAGAAAAGAAGAAAGAAAATGCAGAAAGTTTCTTCCTCTGCAATGGACAGTGGATCTAAAGCCCATGCTACACCTCAGCTCTCCTTCCCAGATCCCTCATCAGGTGAGAGTGCACCAGTCAGCTCCTCTACTGAATCTTGCATAAATATATGTATGATTTGCTTTAACACTAGTGCATCAGCCAAAGCAGAGTTCCTGGGCTTGTTGATGTCTTTGTGGGGCTGAGGGATCTCTCTCTCGTTAAGGTTTCTTCTCCCTTTATTTCCATCTGCAGAGCTCCCAGCCATGGCTGCTGCCACCTCACCTTCCCACAGGCTTCAGCTCTTAGTGCCAGCTTTTCCTCTGAGAGCTGCTGTGTCCCCCAGCAGCATGGGCCTCATCCAGGCAGCAGCACCCCCAGCTCACTATCACTCACAGTCTGCTGAGTCCATGGATGAGATTCCTGTGGCTCAGACTTGCCTTGGGAGCCCAGTCCTTCAAGGGCCTCCTAAGAAAAACTCAGGCAACTCTCAACGTTATCCCTTGTCCACAGACAATCCCAGAGGAGTCAGGAAGAAGAATCTGTATTCTGAGCACAAGGTCAAAAGGAGAAGCTGCCAGCAGGACAGACACATGGAACGAGACCTGGAGCTTTTTTCTAAGATTCCTGCTGTGTTTGTAAGTAAGAGCAGTGGAGAACCTCTTGTCCCTCAGCCCCAGCCCAATGAGAGCACGTCAGAGCCTGACCACAGAAAATGCACCAGCAAGCAGCATGTGGGCACACAGGATCCATGCTCAAAGGACATAAGGACAAGCACCACAGCGGCCTAGGGACCATCCTTCCAAAGCCATGGCCTTTGGGAGCAGCATTAGTGCTGTGTGGAGCCCTGCAGGACTCACTCTCACTGTGCTGTCAGGCTGCAGTGGGACATTTCTCATGCTCAGCCAAAGGCAGGAGGCAGCAAGGTGGCAAACCTGAGGTAGACTTGTTGCTCATGAGAGCTCAAGTGCTTTCCCTGGAAGGCCAACCCCTCTTGGCCCTCTGCATGCTGGTACTGCAGTAAGTTCCCAGCAGAGTGTATGGGGAAGAGCAAGGCTGCACCTCTGCCATTCCCTGCTCCCTGAAAGCTGTATTTCCATCTGCCTACTCCCTGTCATTGGATCATGCTCAGGGGCTTCAGCAGGTGGCCAGGGAGTAACCTCAGGATTGCCCCATCCCTTATACCGCTTTCCACTGTGCACCCTCAAGCCAACTCCACCACCAGCATCTTCTCTGGAAGGCAGCATAGCTTGACCTGCTCCCCCTTCCCAGCAGCCTGGGGTGCCCCACACTGCAGCATTCTCATCAGAAGTTTTGGGATACAGAAGGCCCTGAAACCTTTGCAATTCCTGGGCTGCCAGATCTGTATTAGCCCCCAGCCAATCCTGGTGTGTGTGTAGTGCAGAAAGACCCCACAGCAGACAGTGGGGCACATGGCCAGTGCCTGGAGCCACAGCAGATTGTGCTGGGGGTGAGCTGCAGAGAGCTGTCTGGGCTGCCATCCTACAGCACCTCTGCTCTCCCTGCCCTCTTGGCTTCCCCAGGCAGCATGCCCTGTTCCATGTTCCCGGCTGAGTGCTGAGGCTGGGCCTTCAGCAAACCCTGTCTGCCTAGCAGCTAGCTGATCTCAGAGCCCAGACAGCAGTCACCAGCATGGCCATGTCTGACAGGATTTGGCACAGCCCTGAGCAGCAGCACTGGCATGGCTGGATGCACATTTCCAGGCACATCCCCAGCACAGCACACTGCTGGTGCTGTGAGCAGACAGGTGCACCAGCAAAGAAAAGGAAGCCACGGAAGTCTTCATCACCCTTCAAAATGACCTTTCTCCAGCCTATGGTGGGTGCAGGTTAAGGAAGGACAGGACAAAGCATGGTGCTGTGAGAGCCAAGGTAAGCTGTTCTCCCTCAGTCTGCAAGCATTCCTTGGAATTGAGCAGGACAGGGATCTGGGGCCAAAGGCTCTTTGGGCACAGTCAGCATGAGACAGGCAGGCTGAACTCACAGCCTTGATGGGAGAGTCTAGCCTGAGAGAAAGACCTGGGAGTGTTTTAAAGGGCTGCCTTACCACTCTTCTCTTGTGTGATTTTTGTCTCCTGGAAGAACTGGGATGAGGAGCTTTGACTCTTCATCAATTTACCCCATCTGTTCATCAGAAGAAGTCAAGTCTCATGTAGCTGTTGAAGTCATTTTGTCTCAGTTTGCAGGAAGGGCTGGCCTGTGGTCACACTCCTTGCAGCTTCCCTGCCTGCTGTGGCCAGTGGTGCCCTCTGGCAGTGTGACCCTTGGGAAAGCAGGTGAGTGTGGACCAGCAGACATGGCACTGGTGTCTGCAGAGACCAGGGCATTGCTCACCTATGGCTCCCAGTTAGACAAAGCCCTTCCTGTTGTTTCTCCTCATGTCTGCTGTCATCCAAGGAAACTGTGTCCTGCAGCAATGCTGGGCTCATGGTTTTCCAAGGCCAGCTGCCCCTCCACCAGAAAGCATTGGTAATTCCTCTTCAGCAGGTGCCCCTGAGCAGACCTTGTGTGTTTTCTTACTCTGTCCATGCAGAATCAGTCCCAAAATCATGTATAGAGCTCTTTGGTAGCTCTGGCCACAATAAAATTTTCTATATTCTTTGCTAAATAGTTTCCTCCTTTCTTTTGCAGCAATTCCTGGCTCTGCCCTGTTGATGATCCCCAGGCTGTTTGGGTTCACTTCTCCCTGAGCCTCTGCAGTCCCAGAAGGGCTCAGCACTGTAATTGATGTGGGGGTGACCGCAGTCCCTTCTCCACAGGGCCTTTTGGGTGTTCGATGGGAGTGTCTTCCCTGAGGGGTAGGGACCAGACCATCTTCTCCCTGAGCTGTGTACCCCAGCCTGGTCTTTGTGCTGGAGCACCGGAGGAAGGAGCCCAACCAGCTCTGCACTGTGCTGCAGAAAGGCTGCTGTGCTCCATGGGCTGAGGGGAGCTGGGTTTCCTGGGCAATCAGATGTTCAAGCACATCCTTCTGCTGCCTTCAGCTGGAGCATTTGCTCCACTCTGCTGAATAACTGAAGGCTGCCAAACATGCAAGGCTGTGTCCGTGCATTGGAGCAGCTGGGTGCTGAGCCAAGAGCCAGGCTCCAGCAGGATGGGCTCCCAGCACTGCCAGGGTTGGACTCTGATCTCCTAAACCTCAAGAGCAGCAGGAGGATTGTCTGTGCTACATGGTGACTGAAATTAGCTGGAGTTTATGTTTTTTCCACAATCACATCCAAAGAGCGCTGTCGAAGATGCACAGTGAGCACCCAAGAGTGAAAATGGTGAGGCTGAGACAGTTCTGGCTCCTGGACTCTCCTTCCCAACCTTGCTTTTGTCCTCTTGGGCCTTTAATGTTGATACCCTGCAGGTTCACATGCCAGTGGCATTTCTGCTGCTCTGCATGAGGAATGTCCATAGCAGACCTGTGGCAGTAAGCAGAAGGAACAGGTCACAGTGGGGTGCTGCTGCAGAGTCCAGCATGGGGAGGGCGGTCCTGGGCTCAGCACCAGAGGGTTGCAATGACCACAGGCTGCAGCCCAAGGCCATAAAGAAAGCTGGGTTAAGGTCCTGACAGCAGAAGTCCTGATGCTTCAGCTCCCCATCACTGCAGACACATTGAGGTCTGACATCCTCAAGCCCTTTTTCCAGCATAAATAAATAAAAGGTTTTTGCCAGGGCGTAAACTCTCCCACCAGCTGGAGGCAGTGCTCTGGACCAGCTGTTTCCACCACAAGACACTGTGGCTTTCTATTAGGAAGAAGCAATGATTTGCAGGATGACAGCGTTCCACAATCCTCTGAAATCATGTCATGGTCCCTGGCCACTGTCTGGCAGCTGTGCCAGGCCCCGCAGTGCCTGCTCCAAGCCTCCACCTTGGCACGGGTTTCACGCCGTGGTTCCTTTAAGCCTGGCTCAAGTTTCTTTGTTTCCTCTTTGAAGTCAAGGGGACCTTCCTTAGGGAAATGATTTTGTAGGACTCTGTTCTTGCACTGCTTTCGACACGTCCTGAGAGCATCTCAATGAGCTGCCTTGAGCTGCAGGGTGGGCAAAAGGAAATTCCTGCCGGAGGATGGAGCTTTGCCCCCTCTCCTGTGCTCGGAGCCGTGCATGGCACGCCCGCAGCTGGTGCTCGGTGGCACACCCGGCACGGCACGGCACGGCCCGGTCCCCACCGCGCTCAGCAGCCGCAGCTAAGCCCCGCTAATGCCTTGTGGACACGCCGTTGCTGGGGTGACCGTGTACATATTGCACAACCTCCGAAACACTTCCCTCTGTTTTGTAGCAACTCGCGCTGGAGAAGCGGCGCTCCCGCATAACCTCATCCCACCCCAGACACGGCCGAGCCAGAGCTCATTCTTGGAACGGGATGAGTCCCGGGGGGCTGCGGTGCCCAGCCCCGGGGGAAGCGAGGGGCAGAGGATGGGGGTGAGCACACAGGGTGCTCGGAGGTTGTGCTTGTACCCTCTAGCAAGCTCTGAGCTGCACCCGGAGCAGTCACAGCACCCCGAGCTCTGTGTTAGGTGGGGACAGGGACACAGCCTCAGCAGGAAGCGGTCGAGCCCGCACCTCGGGGCTGCAGCTGTGTGTGAGCCTTGCTGTGTCCGGGGTGAGCGCTGGGGTATTCGGCTCATTGTGTCTCTGGGGCAGGACACACCCTGGGAACATCCTGACCCCGGTTAAAAGGGAAAGGCCCCCGGCGAGCTCAGCCCTGAGCCGTGTGCCTGCTCCTCCATCACATCACAGGAGCTGTGCAGCCTCCCTCAACTCCTGCCCGTGCCGCGGGCTGCGGACCAAGTCACGGCCTCCTCCCGGGCTTCCTTTTCCGGGCTGCGTGAGGAACAGCGGGAGCCGGCCAAGGACCACGCTCCATCCCAACAGGGCTGTCATGGTGACAGCAAACGCACAACAAACCCCAGCCCTCAGGAACCGAAATCCGACCTGCTCAACCCGAGCCCGTGGGCAGCTCAGCAGCCGCGGCTCAGCGCCCCCTTCCTTAGCCGGCTCTCCCCGTGAGCCATTGCTCGGCTCCTTGGCTCTGCAGCCCCAGCAGCAGCTGAAGCTCCTACAGAGGAGCTGCCCACATGTCCTGCTCCTTTTCCACCTGCTGCTGGCTCGGAGCATCCAGGCTCCCACGCTGCCCACGGCTGCCAAGTCCTGCTGGGTGCTCCAGCTGATGTTACCTGGAGCTGTCAGCTGGAAGCAGAGCCAGACACCTGCTTTGGTGGGGAGCTGCAGGGCAAGCTAAGGAGGAGGCTGTACCTTCATCAAGACCTAACCACCCTCCTCTGTGTGGCAGTAGTTATTCCCTTGCCCTTAAAACAAAGAGTACAGCTCCTCCCTACCTCCTGCAGGTGGGATCACACCCTGGGTCCTTGCTGGCCTGCTGAAAGGCTGGTTAAAATTCCCACTTCACAGCCCGGCACTGTCAGCTCTGACCTCTGCACTTTGGAACCTGCTTTCACAATCTATGAGGAGGAGAACGTGTGACCAGGAGAGTCCTCCTGGTGCCACCTGCTCCATGCAGCTCCCAGGCTCTCTGTCCATGTCTGAGCTCCACCACGACAATCCAGAGAGAGAAAAACACTTGGAGGGATCTGCCTGGACTCTGGCATCAGGTGAGCCTCCACACTTGCCCTTCCCACTCTGGACTGTCCCCTCCAGGATGTCCTTGCCTCTGGCTCAGCTGTGAAAGAGCGGCTCTTGAAGGGCCACAGGGTTGGTTGGGGGAATAATGAAATGGGGTCCTTTGTGTGTGTGACCAGCTGGGCCCACCCAAAGGGGCCAGGGGCTGTGACACACCTGGGGCCTCTGACACCAGCCCTGGCACTCACATCTGAAGTGAGAGGTAAAGTTAGTGATCCCAGACTCCCAGAGCTGGCTGGTGGTTACCTCTGGAGGTCTCCAGACCCCAATCCAAGAGAGAATCAGTGTGAGTGGGCCGCTCGTGGCTTTGTCCAGTCAAGAAAAGGCAGCAGTGTCCCAGGAGAGAACAGGTACCCCTCAGCCAAGTGGGGGAGGTTGTCACTGGGGCTGTGCCCCACAGCAAAATGCTCTGGGTGCACAAGCAGAACTGATGCCTTGGGGCAGCTCAGCCATGGGGGCACCTGTGTTTGTCCTTAACCTGCAGCTTCTCTGCACAGGGAGCGGGGCAGACAGAGCACAGGGTGCCAAAGACTGATGTTTGAGGAGCTTCCCAGTCCCCAAAGCTGCTGATTTGTCCTCAGGACCCTCAAGGCAGCAGCAAATCTCACACTGTGTGTCCTGGCTTGCACAGCTCCTGCTGGTGCTGCAGCTGATCACCCACGATGTCCTGCACCCCGAGCAATGCCAGGACGGCACAGCGATCAAAGCAGGCTCTGGGCAAACAGCTGAGGTGGGGCAGTGAGTAAGAGATGTGGCTTGTGCTGGGGCTCCATGACAACCACAATATTTGGGTACTGCCTCAGCTCTCAGCACCCACAGGGAGCCCTGCTGTGGTCACACTCCATGGTGCCAGGGTGGGCAGTGCTGGCATGGGGCTGCTCCAGGGGTGTCCCACCGGGCCACAGGTGCTCACCACGGTCACACCAGAGGGGCTGGCACTGTCTGCTCAGCCTGGGCAGCGTTCCTCTATGGGGGCATGGTGATTGTGTGGGGCAGGAGAAGAGCTGCAGGGTAAAGCACAGCCGGGGTGCCAGGGGCAGCCGGTGCTGAGGGGTTGATGGAGAGACCTCGTGGATTTATGGTGGGGCCCCGGGGGGTGCTAAAGGACCTTGTGGGACAACGCTGGGGATTTGTGGGGTGATGGAGAGACCTTGTGGGGTGCAGGAAAGACGGGTCAGGTGCTGGTCAGGTCTCGTGGGGGAGCAGAGAGGCTTCATGGGCTCGTGGAGGGTCCAGAGGTGGTCCGGGTGCGCGGCCCGGGCTCCTGTCC